GGCTGCGTTTGAATATTTTGATCTTGTTGGTCGTCTTCCTTACCTCAACTTGTAATTCCATATCTCATTAATTGAGAGCCTTGGAGTCCATCATGCTGCTCAGTCTCTGGTCCTGGAGGGCCAATCCTTCCAGCAGGTCCCCAGCACTTCCTCTGCAGTCCAGGGTCAGGACAGAACTTCCTGCTAAACCTTGTATTCTTCCGTGTTTGCACTGGGCAGGCAAAGTGAGGAGGACGATGAGAAGGCTTCATAGTGTTGACTGCTGCCGTCAGTGCAAGGGGGATGGGGTGTTTCCCTGCATGCAGTGAATGCTCCTGTTTATTAACCTATGTGGACCTTTTGTTTATTTAAACCAAATCACAGATAAAGGCAAAGTAGAGACAGGGGTGTGAATGTCCTCTGCTGTGGTGGTTTGCCTGAGCAAGTTTTCAAATGGGGGAAAGACTGATTCCAAAGGTCTCTGTGAACTAACCTTTGTACAAGAAATTTCTGCTTCAGCCACCCCTAAAAGACAAGAGCTGAGCCTCCGGCACAGCGAGTTCCTTTATTCCTCTTTAGTGAGGATGAGGATGAGCAGGGTCACTGGGGTGGCGCATGCACGGAGGCAGCCGCTGTCCAGGTGTGGGCTGAGCACAGTCTGAAGTCAGAGAGAACTGACGGAAGCCAGGCCAAGTCCTGGTGTTTTGCTTGTTTGTGTGTTGCAGCAGTGAAAGGGGTTTTTTTCTTGGTGACTGTTAGTATAGGCTCAAGTATCTTTAATCCAGAAACAGAGAATATGAAACTTTTGAATACCAATAGGATTTCTCAAATGGAAAACTCTACACCAGGAACCTTTGTTTCATATAAAAATTATCAAACTGCCTCATAAAATGACCTTTCAGAGCAAGCCACACATGAGACACGAATAAACTGTGTTTAATCTCAGCTCCCATCCCGCAGGCAGCTCATCATGTACATGCAGATACTCCAAAATCTGGGGGAAATCCCACACACTTCCAACAACAGCATTTCCTGTTCGTTCACTCAGTGTGCACCCTTTTCCGGAAAGGCGTATTTTAACAGCTTTTTTTAGGAACTCCTGTGTTAATAGGTGCCCAGCACACTCACGGGCTAGCCATGACTTGCTGCTCCACGGGGTCAGCATCAGGAAGGCTATTTCAGGCAGTTGTTGATGCTGGGTTTGCTTTACGGACTGGGTCAGAAATACCAGATCTTTTCCGAGAAGCACTGTGGCTTGACGCTGGGCGGCACGTGCTGGACACCTGTGGTCAGCAGACACATCTTCAGCATACAGCTGCAGGTCTTCATCTGTTCTTGGAGGGGCTAAGGATGGCTTGAGTGAAGTTAGGTCCATACATAATGAAATATTTCAGAAAAACAGCAGTTAACATTGCATTCTGGACAAGCCGTTCAGGACCTGACCCACTCTGACCCAGCTGCTGTGATTAGTCACCTGACTTGAAGCAGGGTGCTCTCTTCCCCTGGGGGAGAACGGGACACATCTCTGTTGGGTTTGAGTGGAGCCTGTGTTCTGTGTAGGCTGGCTTGGGTGCCTCACTGCCTGCTCTCTGGCTAGTTGTGCTCTAGCTGCTCACAGTCTTGACAGCTGTTCTTTGTGAAGCTCAGGGAAGGGTCTACTCAGCTGCTGCAGGCCTCCTTCTGGGTAGATGTGGTAGCAGCTCCAAGGAGAAGCCTGTTTCTCCACCGTTGTCAATAAGCTCCAGGAAGACCCACTCTTTAGATTTAGAACCAGGAAGAAAGTTTTACTGGATTGGCGTACTTACACCTTGGTTGCCGTGACTAATAGGTCTCATAAAGGAGTATGCCCGTCTCCACTGTGCTGATGAATTGATCATCATTTGGGTCAGAGTTGAATTCTGAGCTCTCCGGTACTGTCTGATGCTGCAGCGTTTACTAGCAGGGCACTGCACAGAAGATGAGGGAGAGTCTGGCTTCTGCTCTTCTACAGGAAAAAGTTGGAGCTACGGAGTTGGCTTGATGTACGGTAAAGTGCATGCTGCCAGGAGCGTGAGGAGCTGAGTTTGTCTCCCTGGCACCCACATAAAAGGTGGGGTGCGCTGTGTCCCTGAAACCCAGTACTGGGGAGATGGAGACACAAGGACCTTTGTTAGGGCTTCCTGGCCAAGCTAGCTAGATTGATGAGATCTTGGTTTCCAGCAGGATTGTCTCCATATCCGTGCACACACATGTGAACTTGTCACCAGATGTCAGCAGACCCTAGCTTCCAGGGGAGGGTTGGTGTTGACCACCAGAACCTGTGCACTGGTTTTGTAGAGCTGTAGACTGAAATGTGGGTGGCCTCCCCATGCCTTCTGCCACTGGACACCCTGCTCTTGGAACCTTCAGCAGTCTTTCCTCCGAGGCTGGCGTGGTGTTGCCTGTGTCTGCTAGTGATCCATCTGCTCCCACCTGCTGGAGTCCAGGTCACAACATGCTTTCCTTCCTTCCCTCCTCGAGGTGACAGCTGTTGAATTAGAGTAAGGAAAGTATCTTGTCCTTCAAGCCACCTTTCTACACCAATTAAACCCCTGCTCTTTGATCATGCTACTCTTTGTTTGAAAGGGGCACGTGGCCTTTTCTCTCCAGAAGATGTAGAACCACAGTTACTAGAGAATCAAGGATTCTTAGTAACCTAAGCCAGTAAGATCCACACTGGATGGTTTGAGGGCCCAACACCCAAGTGGAAGTCTGAGAGTATGCATCTTTGTCCCTGTCCCTGCCCAGTGCATTGATCTCCTCTCGTTGGGGGTCAGGTCAGCTGTTTGGAAGTCACATACGCCCTTATGAACATATTCCCAGATAAGCCACAGGCCTGGGAGGGCTGCAAGCCTCGTGAGGGGAGGGGCACGTCAGGGAGCTGCTTGCTCTTTGTGTTGCCTGTGTAATTTTCTGCTCAAACCTTTGAGTATTGTATTGGTTCCCAGTCTGAAGAGACCCTAAGCTGCCCTTGTGGGTCACTGTGGATCAGTAGCTGTTGCTGGGAAGTGCTGGGGCCAGGCAGCTTGCCTTCAGTGGCTGCCTTTTTCACTGTTAGCACATGGGAGCCTCCCATCAAAGCCCACAGGCTGGAATCTGAGAGCCCGTGCTCGGCAGAACCACCAAGGGGTGCACCCGTGGCTGCCAAGGTGTTGCGGCTTTCATTTGCCTAGTGGAGACGTGGCTAGTGCAAGGGCCCTCAGGCATGTGACAACCTGTCATTCTAAACACCAGCTTCTTCAGCTCACCAGTGCCGTGGCTTGGTCAGGTTTGCTTCCCTCTCCACTGGAAAAGTGTTCGTCTCTGGATCTTAGACTTAAGAACATGGTAAGTGCTAATGTGGCGCCCAGTGAAGAGTTGATGCCCCTTCCCTGTTGGCCTTCCCTTCCTCCCAGTTCTCCTCTGTTAGATACACGTATGCATGCATGTGCACACGACTGTTCTTGTTCAGTTACCGATTTAGCATGCCTTCTGAGAGCCAGGCACCACACTGGGACATGAGACTGGCATCCTGCCTCTGCTGTAGCCACATACTCTGTTTTAAAGAAATGTCTGATTTTTGAAAGCGCTCTGGCTTTGCCCACATGCCATCAAATGGATGGTTCCATTTCTTCCCGCTGTAAGCTGTTCCTGGATTCAGGGTTGTTTGGATGGGTACGAAGCACAGGTTAGTTCCCTCTGATCACTCCTGGCCTGGCTGGGTCTCAGGTATGGACCACAGAGGTGCTGGAGTGCAGGACCCGGGTTGTGGCTGGTCACCAGTTACCTTTGCCCTTTCAGGTCTTTCTTTGAGTCCTCCCAAGGAAAGGGGGGGGGGGCACATGTGCTCAGCCCAGTCCTGTGGTGGTTCTAGTGCTGCCTTACTATGGAGTCGCTTCCTCCTCCTCCCTGTTTGCTTGTTTGTTTGTGTAGCCCTAGCTGTCCTGGAACTCACTCTAAACCAAGCTCAAAACCAAGCTCAGGAGATGTGCCTGACTCTGCTTCCCAAGTGCTGGGATTAAAGGTGTGCACCATCACTGCCCTGCACTCAGCCAAGGAGCCACAGACAGCGCCTTGGGGATGGGGCATGTATCTCAGTGCTCCCTGGCTGAGGGAGAAGGAGCAAGGGTTGCGGCAGAGGACTCAGCTGGGTGCCCAGCGCTAAGAGCACTTGCTGCTCTTGCCAAGGATGTAGCTTGATTCCAAGCACTCGCCTGCAGCTTGAGCTCCAAGGGACCCAGCACCTGCTTCTGGCCTCCACCGGCTCCTGTATGTGTTGTGCCTAAGCTCATGGAGGCACATATCCATAATAAAATCAGTCTTAAAACCAATCCCAGCCCATACTGGGCTAGGTAGTGAGGCTGACCCTGTCTTAAGCAAAATAAAAAGGACAGTGAGTGCATTAGTGGGTTTGAGACACAGCAAGAAGGAAAGCGCTGCCGTCCTCAGATGGGGCTCTGAGCGCCACCTCTTAGCAGCTGCCACCTGGAGGGCCCCGCTCTGCCTGGGAAGGAAGCAGCTCCTAAGCACGGGGGTGGCACTTCTCCCCTTAAAGCTCTCAGGATGGATGTGAGGGTTAAGACAGCAGGACAGGGTCTGGTCTGGGTGGACAGCTGTTCAGCTTGTTTCTGTATGCGTTCATGTTGTGTGTGCCACAGCTTGTGTGTCAAGGTCAGAGGACGGCTTGTGGGATGAGTTCAGGGACTTGAACTCGGGTCATCAGGCTTGGCAGCAGGCATCTTCATCCACTGCGTCATCTTGAAGGGGAGAGCTCTGAGAACAAGGCTATGTGAATGTTTTGCAGCCTGGCTGGAAGAAAGTGGGTGTCATTTATGTGCCTGTCCTCTCTGAGGCTTGGTGTGGGGTTCAGTGGGAGACTAAGCCTCTGGGCACATACTGGGCCTTAGTCTGACAAAGTGCTCTGGCCAGCAGGGCAGTGACCGCCGCGCCTCTGTGAATGGGGCTGTGCACTGCTCTGGCAGCGCTGTGTGTGTCCGTCACTGACTGTCTTCACTCTCTTCCAGGGGCTCCATGGGCCTTACCCCTTCGGCCAGTCTTAGACGGCGTCAGCAAGAAGGAAAATTAACAAAAGACAGAAGGCCTGACTTTGGGGGGAGAGGGCGAGGGGTTCCTCTGGATTGCAGAGCACATCTCGCGGACGGACCCCTGGCTCAGACCCCCACCCACCCCCCAATCACGGAAGAAGAGGAAGAAAGAGACTAGTTTTGAGTGAACTCAGTATGCATGTGTGAGTGCTGAACTGCAGGAGTGGTGTTGAGGCGACCGAGAAGATCCACGCAGCCACCTTGGGTCTGGGTGATGACTTCAGTCTAATGAGTTATTAGGTCACTTGGGAAGGGGAAGAAATTTAAATGGGGGAAAATAAGCCATCTTTTTAAACAAAAATTATTTTACCTACAGAGGTTGCAGTTTTGAGCACATGTTAGATTCCCTCTTCCCGATGTTCATCCTCTTGTAAGGCATGGCACGCTCTACAGAACAGTGCTTGCTCTGGAAGCCGGCACACGAGGCTGGCATGGCACGTTTGCAGACTCTGCCAGTCGGCAGCTCGTGCCGCACTGCCATGACGGCAAGGTCTGACCCCGTTTGTTCTTACTGGCACCTGCCAATGAGATTTCGCCTTCCTCCTCTTTTTCTCTCCAACCTCCTGTTGATTTACACCTTTGACATTTGTGTCTGTCAACCTTGGGGCTTCTTAGCTAGCATCAGAGCCTCTCTGCGGTAAGGACTTCCCTGTGTGGCCAGCAGAAGCCTGGAGGACATTCCCAGAGGCATTGTTTTTCACACGCTTGTACCAGTGGGCCCACTTCCCGCTCCTCTTGGCAAAGGGCGTGCGGCCACAAACGCTGACCCTTGGTGCAGTGGCCTTTGTCCCATTGGCTCTTATTGGGTGTGCACATGCGCTCCATGCACAGGGTTGTACCTCATCCGCAAGTGTGAACTGTCCCCTGCTTCTCTTGTCACACAGCTCCCCCCCCCCCCCCCCCCCCCCCCCCCCCCCTGCCCTTTTCCCCCCCCCCCCCCCCCCCCCCGCCTCCCCCACACGTCCTGTGGCATTGTCGCAGCCTGTCAGTAGAGCCAAGCTATTAGGCAATGATGATGCAGCCCCAGGTGGACGCCCCGCTCCTGACCACAGCCCGGGAGGCCACAGTCAGGTGGACGTGAAAAGCCCTCCTTCAGCAGGGGCTGCCCAGTGTGGGCAGCAGGTGCATGCCCGCTAGTGTCCCCTGGACTCCATGTGGGTTGAAGTGTGGATATCTCCACAGGACTCTTAAACCAGGCCAGAACAGCTGTCTGCCAAAGATAAAAGAATATGCAAAGTTCCTCCTCTTAGCCCCCTTCCCTGAGTCAGTGGCTTGAGAGCCAGGGATACAGATTTAGTGTGGTTGCGGGGTCCCCTGTCTGCCTCCAGCCCCCATGTGCTCCAGGGTTGTGAGCAGAGCAGGGAGACCAGGGTGTGAGTGGCTGTAGGAGGTCCTCTAGCCTGGGTGCGGGTGCTGGTCTGGTCTGCCCGTCTGTCTGTCTGGATGTTTGAGTTCCGAAAGTTGTGTGGTGAGGTGGTTCCTCCTCATCCTCTTCAGAGACTGCTGGTTTTAAATACTTGATTGTGAAAGAAAAGCTTACGCGAAAATCCCTTCAGCCTTCCATGTCCCACAAAAGCAAACCAACAATAAGCTTTGTTTCATTGAGGACGTCCCTGGAGTAGGTGGGGAGGGCCATGGAGAAGGGCAGCGCAGTTGGCTCTCCAGGTAGATGGCTCTTCTCGGGGACTCTTACTTCCTCTGCACACGTGGACCCTTGAGCCAAGGGCAGTCCCTACCCGGTGCCCAAGCCACATGTCTCAGGGGCTTTTGTCTGAGACCTCCGTGGACCAGACAACTGCTGCCAGTCTCCGAGGACACTGCCACCCTAGAGCACACGCATGCCCATCCATTCTATTCTCCCTGCTTCTGGCCTTGGAGCAGTGTGCCTCCAGCTGGCCTTGTGGAGCCAGGAGAGGCTTCAGCCCTGCCTCACTGCCTTCCTATCTGTCCCCACTAGGTACCGGACTTTCTCAGTTTCCCCGAGGGGACCTCATGGACCCTATCTTCTTGTACCCCTTCCTGCTTGTAGCAACCTCACTTGACAAGCGCAGTGGCTCAGGTACCCTTGCTTACTTCCCAGAAACAAGCCGTGTCTGTGCGTCCTGGAGAGTTGGCTCCTTCAGAAGGCCAGAGCCGGTGCAGGCCGTGACTGGCTTCCCAGGTGCTGTTCCGCAGCCCCCCAGAGCCCCCACATGCACTGGGCCACCTCTTCGGGACCCTTGTTGGCACCCACGAGGTGAGGCGCACACTGAGTTCCAGGAGGGTTGGGATGGGTGGATGCAGGCTGGGAGGAATGTGTGTGTGTGGAGTGAGGCGAGTGTGTGTAGGTGTGTGCACGCGTGCATGCCTGTTTCTTTTTGCTGTGGAGACAGTTGAATTTGGGGCATTTTTCTACAAAGCTAGCCTCCTCTCCCCCCTGGACGGACTGGCGGTAATTGCAAGCCAGGCACTTTCACCAAGATGGCCGGTGGCCAAGGTGGGAGGTGGGCATGAGTGTAAAGCCCCCCAAATTTAGCCTGAGCTCCCAGCAGGAAAGAAAGGTTGTCAGGACTCGCAGGTGCAGACGAAGGGGCTGCCCCCACCCCTGCCCTGTTATCCCTTGTTTCCTTGGGTGAATGTGGGGGCAGCCTGCTGCCCCTCCCACCTGGACAGTGGTGGGTGTCTGCTGGGGCCTCGTGGGGCCTAGGAGATGAAGATGAGGTTTTCCTTACCATGTAAATGAATATTTGTATGATTAAATTAACACACAAAAAAACTACCTTTCTCATGTGTTCCTGTTTTATTGTATCCTCAAGCTGCCCGTTGACCCATGTAACCCCATAATGGTTCTGGTGCACACTTACAAATAGGAGAACTGAGACCCTGAGATGGAAAGTGTGTTAGCCCCTGTAGGATAGCCATGACAGTGCCCAGCAAGGGAGGAAAGATTCGCTCTGACGGCGTCAGAGGACCTGGCCTGTGGACAGATAGAAGCTCTGCGTCTGGTGCTCGGTGGGAGTGGAAGAGGGAAGCTGCTCATGGTGCGGCCTGACCACACAGGCCAGGGCACAGCTGTCACTGTCAGAGGCTCATGGCTGGTGAGATGTTTCGGCTAGCTTGACCCCATCTCCTAAGGGTTCCACGACCTTCCAAGAGTGCCACAGCTGGGTACAGTCACTAGCTAGGGCCAGGCCAGAGTAGAGCTCTCGGCAGGAAGTCGCTTTGGGTTACACTTGTAACTTCTGGTACACAATGATCAAAAAGTAAAGAAGCTGCCTCCAAATGGTCATCAGGTACCACACCTCCCCAAATGGAAGAAATGCCAGCCAAGGTCGTGTTACTGTGTGTCCTGCACAGCAGAGAGGTAGTGCTAGAAGGCGGAGCACCTTTGGAAACAGACAAGCCAGGAGGTGGGCAGCGATTCGTTTCCCGCCTAGGCTCCTGGCTTCGGAAGATGAGTAGTCTTACTTGCTCCAGTGCTTGCTGGATACCGTTCCTGTGAGCTCCTTACTATTGCAGACTGTGCAGGTTCCCGGGCGGCACTGGAAACCTGAGAGTGAGGGACACTGCAGAGAGCTACCAAGTGGACTAGGACCCGCCTCCTATGGGAGCCTGTGACCTTGGGGCCCACATAGAGCACCGAACTGAGGCAGGCTGCAGGCAAATGGGTTTAACGCTGCCAAATCTTCAGAGGGCAGTCTGGCTAGGTTTGATGGTCCATACCTATAATCCCATTACTTGGGGAAGTGGAGGCAGGAGGGTCAGGAGTTGTAGGTCATTCTTAGCTATGTGAGCTCATGTCTCAGTTACCACCATTGGTGCCTGTGTTGTAGAGGGCATACTCAGGGAGGGGAAACGAGCTTCCCCTTGTCTCATAGCTCTCAATGAGGCAGGCTGGGCCGCAGGTCCCCTGTACTGGGTCCTCCCAGGCATCTGGCATTTTAGCTAACTGAAGAGCCAGCCTGGAGCTGCACACCGTCATGGGCCTCCCCCTGCCTGGCAGAGGTGTGTGTTCAAGTGATGCTCATGAGCCTGGTCGTCTAGGATACAGGGATTGGGGAGAGCCGTGTGCCCACAGACAGTCCCAGGGACCTCTAGACAAAGACTTGGTGGAAGACAGGCCTGACAAAGCTGATCCCCTGTGCCAAGAGCTGATGCAAGCGTCCCCAGGAAGCACCAGGGACCCCCACACATAAAGACAGCCTCACCGTGACAGTGGCCCTGCACCCTGCCAGCTTCCAGGTGCCTGCAGCTGTTTGCTCTCTGCAGGGGAGGGACCCACCCTGTCACCTGGGTCTCCCCCTCCGGCACCCCTGCTCCTGAACAGTTATTTGCTTGGCAGAATCTGTTTATCTTTGGGGCTGTAACCTGTCAAGAAGTCACTGGGCCCTGGGAGAAAGGCACAAGCTCAGTGGTAGCTCCTGGCTTGAGCCATTCCCACGCAGGCTAGGTGACAGGGAGGGGGCTCTCAGCTGAGTCTGGGAGATGGCGACCAGGCAGCGACAGTGGTCTGGGACCCAGCCCTCCTGGCAAAACAAGCCCTCAAAAGAGCCACCTCCCTGCCCAGCTCAGGTTATGCTTGGACCTCCCACTCTGTTCCTGAGAAGGCGCCTCCCTCCCCTGGCCTCCATGACCCAGCTGATTCCCAGCCTTGACCAGCTGAAAATGAAAGTGAGCACGGAAGCCTCTCATGACAGCCCCCGGGACCCCAAATGGAAAGGAGACAGATAGCTGGTTAGAGGTAGGACCGTGTGAGCAAGAAGCACGCTGCTTCAGAGTCAAGGACCACGTGTATCTCTTCCCCGTCGTCCTGAGGCGCAGGGATCTGGGCCACATGTGAGTGTGAAGGCCAGAGGTTGAGGTTGACAGCAGGTGTCTTCCTTAGTTGCTCTCCACCTTATTTTGGGGGGGGGGGGCAGGGTCAGGGAAGCTGGAGCTCACTGATTTGGTTAGCCTGGCTAGTCAACGAGCCCTGGACCCACCCCAGTGAGGATGCTAGGGGTCCAGAGTCAGGTCCCCACGATTGTTAAAAAAGCACTTTACCAGCTGAGCTGTAAACCCACCCACACCCACAAAAGTCTTAGGGCAAAGGTGAAACAGCAGCTGTGTTCTAGTCGGATCAGGCAGACACAGATGCCATTTGTCAAGAG